GCTCTCTAACAGAGGACAGGATGACAAGATAATTAGCTCTTTGAGATCTTTACTGTCATCATTTCATGTAATGAACTTGGTCTCCTCCTCCTCTCAAACACCCCTTCACAAAGAGCACCAAAGCTTTGTAGCTCCAGAGAGAAGAGCTGGAGGAGGTGGAGGAGTGAGCGCTCTTTTCTTTTAGTGCACATTTAATGATTTTATGATGCTGCTCTCGCCTGCGAAAGATCGCTGACAACCGGCAGCAACAGGTGGAGGGAGGCAGGTGGTGACATGCAGACAGCTACTGACTAATCTGAGAACAGTTGAGACTGAAAAACATGCAGGTCTGAGATCAGCTGTGGAGTCAGACTGCAAAGTGCTTCATAACCAAAAAGAAGAATTTGAATGGTGTTACGAAAACAACAGCGAACTCATAAAGGTTTTAATACGACGGGAGTTTGATGGTCTCACCTCTTCTTTCCTGGTTTGAACTCCTGATTCTTGATCGTAACTCCGACTGACAGCACATCAGGGAGAGAGTTACAGCGACACAACATCCTGTTAAAACAGTCCTTTCAGCTTGGATTAATTCTTATGAAAGACTCTTTTGATCTGAGGACCCTTACAGACAAAAGGAGTATGAATCATTTGTAGGGTAATTGAGGAACGGACACATAATTTGAAGCAGACGACAACCTGCTTTATACATCTGAAGAACTTTTATAAAAGAAAATGAACTGCTTGGCAACCAGACCAGGCCTCTATTTGAGACAGGTCAAAATGTGTAGCCACCATGCAAACACTTAGGCTGTTCTCGATAAACAGGATGTGAATGGTTGCCATGTTTCATCAAAGATTACAGAGCAGAGAAACGCTGTGTCGAACTCTCTCTGTGTGAAACAAGTCTCTGCCAAACAGGTCTAAAAAGGAGGAGCAGTCTGAGTTCTCCAGAGTTCACTTGTTTCTTTTTGTCATATTATAATGTATTTTGTTATAGAGGGTTTGCACGTGACGACACAGCAAGTGGAGGTCACTGCGGTCACGCCCGCTGAGTGGCAGAAAGACAAAGACGAGTGGCAGCGTTAGCTTGAATGCCGCCAAAACTTAAAAACGATGTCAAAAATGGGGAAGGGATCTGTTGTACTATAGATTGTACAAACAGGTTTGTCGAGCAGTCGGAGCTGTCTTTTTACAGGCTACTGACAGTATTAGTGAATGTCAGTGTTAGCTATGAACAAGGCATGCCTGACAATAGCTAACTCACAGTTTATATATACATACATACATACATAGCTGTCTACAGACAACCAGAATATCCATTGGTGTTCTCGTCACTTTAATGCTGCCAACAAATCCGGCCTTGAAGAACGACCAAGCGTCGAGTCTTTTGGATCCTTTCAGGCTTTGCATTGTGCATTTTCCCAGCGTTGAAATCAGGTACATATAAATGTCAGGATACCTGATTCCAGGCCACACGTCAATGTCCATGGACCACTTGTTCTTTGGTAGCTCGTACGGATCATTGATCATCTGATAATCCATACTTTTCCTGGTCTCGCTGTGTCTACTGCTACACTCCGCCATGTTGAGGGAGGTTTGTTTTGCCACTCAGTCCGACAGAGAGGGGTGTGTCCCGGGGGGGAGTGACGTAAACGCATACCCTCTATAAGTGGGACAGAGCTGATAGGTGACGGGTTCCACCTAAGATGGCGGTGCATGGATCTGGTGTGGTATCACAGTTATATACCTCTGAAAAGCACTTAGAAATATCTGAGCAGAACTTGTTAAACTTGGGGAAAGACCAAGAGAGGTGGCCCAAGGTGCCCTCTAGTGATTTACATTCTATGATTATGAGCTGTGGATCAGTAGATTGTAATCTCTGGATGTTTGTTTGAAAGACCCATGAATAGAGAATTGTATTAAACAGGCTGGCAGATAGAAACTGGCTGCTGCAGGAAGAGCAGGAAGTTATGAATGAGGGGTGAGACATAATTTCCATCTAGCCGTTTGCTGACCATAGATGACTTAGTGTTCTGCCAACACATTCTCATTCCAGCTCGTCATATACCGTCGCTTAGTCAGTGACCTACTCGTCTAAATATGGTGCTCTGCTATCATCTTGTTCACGATAATACCGGCGTAATTTTTGATATAAAATATTAATAGGGGTGTAACGGTACACAAAAATCTCGGTTTGGTACGTACCTCGGTACACAAGTCACGGTTCGGTTTTTTTCGGTACAGTAATGAAAAAATAGACAACTATTAAATATCTTGTACTTTATTGGTAACCTTATTAAAACATACCACCACAGCAGTTAACTCTTTTTACACAATTTTTGAATGAAACATATATATATATAAAATCCTGCTTTTTCACATTGTTTGAATGAAAAATAGAAATATAAATTTCTGCTTAAACAATTTTACTCACATAAAATAAAAAGTATAGTGCAGCTGGTCAGCTTTAAAGCCTGCTCAGATTCAGTTTATGGCGTTGGTTATTTCTTTAGCGCAATGGTCAGGAAAACGCTCTTTCTTTTTAAATGATGACGATATCGTAGTTTGCACCAGATTGTTTTTTCTAGTCGTGCCGGTTAACGTTCAAACTCGGGTGGTGTCGCTTTAGATGCGTTCGCATGTTAGACGTGTTTCCAAGTTCTGCAGAGTCGGCACACTGCTTTTGTCTTGTCAACTTGTTTATTTCCATCTTCGTATTTTACCCTGAAACCAAAGTGTTCCCAAACGGAGGACTTAAGGTTTGCGGGTGGGTCTTCAGGTTCGTCAGGCTCACTTGCCATGTTGTCAAAATGTGAGAATGCGCTGCACAAAGTGAAAGCGGAGATTTACGGGACTCGGTCCGTCACTCAATTATGTCCGTCAGGGAACTCGATATTTTAAATGGTTTGGCTCACAAAAACCGAATTAAAATAAAACAAAATAAAATAAAATAATATCCTGCGCCCAATAATTCGGTACAGGGTCGTGCCGAACTGAAAGTCGTGTACCGAACGGTTTGACACAATTACATGTACCGTTACAGCCCTAAATATTAATAATTCATGCAGTGATACTTATGAAATTTCAACTTGTTGACATACTGACGTGACACTGTTACCCATGGCAACAACAAGCAAGTAGAGTTGTACCGATACCGATACCAGTATCGGAAATGCCTCCGATACTGCCTAAAATGTGGTATCGGTATCGGCGAGTACAGCCTATGACCAATCTGATACCACTTAATGCCTCACGTCATTACACATATGCACGCTACAGGCAAACGAAACAGAAACGGAGCGGAGTTTAAAAAGCATTCTGCTGTAGCCTTTAAAATGTCTTTTTTACCAAATTGTGTGGCTGCACTTTAACCTGTGTCTTGATCTGTGTCAACACTGGATAATTATAATAATAATAATAATAATAATAAAGTTTTATGGCATTCATTCTACTATTATGTATTTATTTTTTAATATTTTACACAGAGTTTTAGGAGTTGAGACATACAACAGTTCATATCCCATCCATTTTTATTTTATGCGCTGGTATCGGATCGGTACTCTGTATCGGCAGATACCTAAGGTTCAGGGATCGGAATCGGTATCGGGAAGGAAAAAGTGGTATCTGTACATCTCTACAAGCAAGGCTGAAAGTGAGATGATGATGGACTCCTTGGTGGTTCCAAAAAGAGGAGCAGCTTCAGTAGTGTGGAATAAACTGTGGCGTCCTGAATGTTTTACTTCTCTTAGCGCTCAGAGGGAACTCATTCAGCGGCTCCTCTGGCAGCAGCTCAGCGTCACCTGTTCATCTATATATATAGATCCCAGGGGACATTTGTTTAAAATGTGTAATTAGTGGTAGATTTGATTTAGTTGAACTATTAATATTGTAACAGAATCTGAATCTCACTCTGAGTTACTGTTGTTGTTCACAAACTAAAGAAACGAGAGATCATTTTAGTTTTTACTGAATATTTGAAGCAAACTGTGAAACTAGATCACTGATTTGTTGTGATTTTTTCTTCTTAAATTAATACTAAAATATTTTTTACTAATCTGTCATATCGTCAAAAATACCCTGAAATATCCTGGTATTATTTTAGGGACCATGTCTACCGTAATATTTTCTGAGACAGTTATTGTAATGTAAATCTCATGCAGCAGCAGCAGCCCTACTTACAGTCCATCCGTTTTCTGTACGCTGTGTGTTGCTGATGGAAGACATGAACCAGACGTGTCACATCAGGTCCTTGATCAGATACTTACCCGCTGTGTTTGCTGTTGGATCTAAGGTGCACAGTTTAATGAATGTATAATGGTCCTACATGTGAGGAAGCTGGATTTAGACCATGAAGCAGGTTGAATCAGTGTTACAGTGAGCGGTGTTAATCTGAGGCCGACCTTCCTCCAGCCTGTGGAGTTGAACCCTTCTGACTCATGGATGATGACTGGTGGTGGAGGAGGTTGATTAGTTTGGTCCAGATTACATGGACCACTGATTGAGTCACAAGAAAAGTTGAGTGTTTCCTCCATTAACTGTAATTAGCATCTGTGTGAGTGTGTGTGTGTGTGTCCTACTTTGAAGCAGAGACGGTGTGTGTGTGGGCGTTGTCTCCTCTAAAGTTCACTTCCTATACGTCTCCTCAGATTTGAGCTGTTTCTCTGCATAACGAACCTTCAGACGGCGGTTTGTACCTCGTGGCTCCAGATTTCCGTGTTTTAACTCTAATTGACCGCTCGGGCTGATGCAACGCTCGCCAAACCTCACGGGAGGATCCTCCGAGTGAAGCTCAGATCTCATTTACAGCCAGCAGTCATGTTTTAATGTTCACACTCTGAATGTGTGTCTGTGTTCTGCATCACTGTTAATAAAGTTGGAGATGTAAACCTTTGGCTGGTTACTGCAGGGTCGCTGTGAAGAGGAAGTTTAAATAAAGTTTGAAGGATTTCTTATTTATGGTGAAGCTGAATGGAACCAGACCGATAAATAATGAATGTGTCTTCTGTGTTTTGTTTCAGGAGAGGAGACAGAGGAGGTTCATGTCATCAGAGTTCAACTGACCTCAACACTGAACAGGTGAGTGGTCAGTACTCTCCTCTCAGATCTTGATTTTCTAAAGTCCACTTCAGACCAAACATTGATGACGAGACGAGGTGAAACAGACGGCTGCTGTCAACACTCCATTCTGTAAGGTTGTAAAAAGCTGGTGGTTGACAGGAAGTGACCACTATGAGACGGCGTATCATCTCTAGTCAACAACTCTCTATTTACGCTCTCATTTTCAAAGCATTTTTTTGGAGTATTTTTATGCCTCCATGTTGGTGACAGCTGTCGCTGGAAGTATTATATTTTTGGGTTGTTCATCCGTCTGTCTGTCCGTCCCATTCCTGTGAATACGATATCTCAAGAATGCCATGGGGAAATTTAAAAACATTTGGCACAAACGTCCACTTGGACTCAAAGATGAACTGATTAGATTTTAGTGATTTTAGATTCCATCTCATTCTTGTAAACACGATATTTCAAGAACACTTTAAGTGAATTTCTTTAAATTTGGCACAAACGTCCACTTGGACTGAAGAATAAGTTGTTTTCCTCTGATGTTAGTCAGTTACCTTGTGTGATGATGAAACCATCGTGCAGAGATCATCACAGATTAAAGCTTAATACACAACAAACTGCACAAATTTAAACAATTATTATTCAGCTTATTTAATATCATATTGTCCCTTAAATGTGCATCTGAGTCCATCCAACAACAACAACTTCCCTCTGGTCAGTTTTCTGTTGTGTAATGAGGATCTGAGCCTCGCGGGGCCGTTTGTATGGTGTGTTGTTTTATTGTTAAACTCGTCCTGCTTCTCTTCCTATAGGCTGCGTCATATAAAATTCCCATAAAACCAGTTCATTAAACTGGAGCTGCTGTGTCAACACATAACATCGCAGAACTGTTTCCTAATTATTTGGCCTCATAACACACACACACACACACACTGTACTTCTCTGCTTTGTGTGTGTCTGTGTGTGTGTGTGTGTGTGTGTGTATAAACGCATGGGAGGCTGTCTGGCTGATAAAGAGCAAACAGGAAGGAGAGTCTGATAATTCCACTGATACAGGAAGTAGTTCTGCCGTAATAATAATAAAGCTTTTATTGAACTGTGTTGATGTTTATCACAAACCGCCTTCAGAACAATTGCCGGCTGAATATTAATATTTAACAGTGTAAACAGTGTTACTGTGTGTGTCTGCTGTTTCCTGCAGTGAACTGTTTGAACTGGGAAGTGTCCAGTCAGCAGGTTTACTTTGTACTGGTGAGGCTCCAGTCACAGTTTGGGCTGAGGATTAAATCCTGATGCTGAAGGTCTGGTTAGATTTAACATCGACTTCTCACATCAGACAGCTCTTTATTTAAATCAGGGCTGAACAGTAATGATAACTTGTTTTGCTGTTCGTCCGTACGTCTGTTCCTTGTGAATCTCAAGAACACCTTGAGGGAATTTCTTCAAGTACAAACACTCACTTGGACTCAACATGAACTGATTAGTTTTTGCTGGTCAGAGGTCAAGGTCATTGTGACCTTGGCTGTCTCATTCTCATGAATGAGACTGAGGGAATTTCTCAGTTTTTGGACTCAACCAGTCACAGAGGCAGGCGGATAAAAAGGTTTAAAAGAGAACTGGGAAAGCTTTAAAGTCACCCTTAACTTTATTATCAGATCATTTTGTCAAATGTTGGTTCTGTTCTTGAGGTTAAATTATTCTAAAATGTTCCAACGTGGTTGGTTTTAATGGATGTTTGTTAGTATTTGCGTATTAAACTATCACCTTAACAGCACCATGAAGGTAAAATACCCATCAGCCACAGAACTGCTTCCTCCTGAAGCCTGGTCTCTATCCACTATGTGATGTTGGGCTGCTGTCCCATCAGCTGTCTACCCATGTTAGGTCATTAAAACATTATTGAAATCAGTATCCTCAGCTGACCATAGATGACATCTCAGGGTTTTCCCTGCCTATCTAAGACAAAGGCGGGCCGCATGGGTGATTTTGGCCGCTGCCTTGGTTAAAGCATGTGTGTGTGTGTGTGCATGGGGGCGTTCAGATGTAGCGTCTTTTGCGCTCACAACCCAAAGCGACGCCGTAGCGGCACGCATTCAATGCTACGTGCTTGTTTTTTCATCTGGCGCACAGCTCCACAGACCTGCCTCTCCCTCCGGTGTTGTGTCACATCCTGGTTCCCCCTCGGGCTGTGTCTCTCCTACTGTTTCCCACGGAGCTCTGCCCCGTTTGAAAGGCGAAGGAAGACAAAAGACGTCGCCTCCAAGATGTAGAATGTGTATTATAGAAGAGAAACACACATTTCAGGGCCGCTGACTCATCAGAACAGACATGTCCTGTGATTTTCAGCCTCCTTTCATATTTAACAGAGGGGGGACAATACCTGACAGTAATATTCTCAGCTGTCAGGATGTGCCTGCTGTAAAGGGTAAATATAATCAGAGAAGGCTGAAAATCACAGGCCTTTGCCACCTTGGTCTCGAAAAGACCCAGGGCTCTTGAACCCCGTCAACATCAGTTTTGGATGTTCAGAGAAGGCGTGGCAGTTTATGCCTGCTACATGCAATGTCTGTTTTCAAAATACACTTCAGTTTTCAGAGGAAATGTGAAGTTTGTGCTTGTTAAATGTCTTTTTCAAAATAAAGTTAGACCTTAGAATTAGAAAAAGCCTTTGATTTCAGGTTGACTTCCTGCGGTTTAGGAAACAGAAGAATGTGGTTAGGTTTAGAGTAGTTTCGCCACCAGACAATCAGAGATCTCCGCCTTCTGATAGTCTGGGGACACTCCTTTCTAAAGTGTGTTTAACACACCGGTGAAAACGGCCGGCAACAAAGCAACGCCTCTTGCATTTTTGAAAAGGACACGCCTCCTCGGAAATGTGCGCTCCTCCTTTTCTCGTCCGCAAGGAAACAAACACACAGAGAGCTTGAAAATGGATGCCGAGAGATTTAACTCCATTTTATCAAACGTGTGCTCATCCGTGAAGAAAATATTTTTTCCAGCAGATGTCTTAGTTACAACATGATTGAGCTAACTGGAGTAGTTTCATGTCGTATCCGACAACGGGAGGCTTTTAACAGATGACGTCCTGATGTTAGCTTTGCTGCTGCTGTTAGCTGTCCCTGTCAGCTGCAGCCACTGATGCTTTCTAGACATTGTGATTTCCCAAAACTGAATAAATACCACACATAGCAACACAAAACTGCTTTGCTAGCTCAATCATGTTGTAACTAAGATATCCGCTGGAAAAGATATTTTTTTCACGGACGGTTAGCCCAGCTAAACGTGCACACAGAAATAGTAATGTTTGTTCAATCATTGTGTTTATAGACTTTACAAACATCGGATTAGTCTAAACGGTGATACAGTGATGTGAAAAATGTGATATATAGGGTATATATATATATATATATATATATATAGCTAAAAGCTCTGCTGGTTTTCTACCCGAAGTATTTGTAAACAACAAGGCGATTCCCTCTAACGTTATAGTCCGGCCGGACGGATGAGTCATGGCCTTGTAAAAGATTATGTTTGTTTCTTTTAGTTGGTGAGAATGTGTCGCCGCAAACGCGACAAACATCCACTGAACTTTGACGGCGTTTTCTGCGAGCACGGCTGAGCCATTTTGTACCGCTGCACGTGTTTCTAGTTGGACTATGTTTACGAGCACAAGAGTTCAGCGAGCCACCGAAGGACCGCCCTGCAGATTTACTATTGGTTCTGCAACGTAGGGAGTTTTTTTAAACTCTGAAATTGTATCCGCCCATCTAAACACAAAATCAGGGAGAAAGTCATCAGTCTTTAGTTAAGCAAAGCGTCTAAAGACTGACTTGTGAGTCTAGGTTTAGAGAAAACATCATGTTTGCCTTAAAGAAAGTCCGGTTGTCACTGATGTTATGTCACATGACATGTGTCAGCGAAGCCAACCCGGTCTCACTTAGAAGTTGTTGAATACCAGCGTGTGGTCATTGACTTCCAGTGTCAGACACCGACACAAAAAGCTGACCTTCATGAAAGAAACGTGGCGATATCTTTGCCGTGGCTCTAACGCGGTGGTCCTACGTCACACAGTCAGAGAGGTTCAAGGATGGTCGTTGTCACGGTCTGTGATCAAATTCTGACAGTGTGGCTGCTGTCACCACCTACGTCTACTGACCAACCAATAGAAATGCAGCATGAAATGATGCACTGATCAGTGCCACGATGCTAAATGCTAGTAGATGCTAATAAATACACTTTGAGCTCTCGTTGCAAAACTGGCCTCTTTTCCCGCCCAGGACCGCGTCCACATTCTCCTCCTCTTCTTCAACACATAAATGCCGCTGTAGAAGGGCTTCATTTATTTTTTCATTTTTCTCTGACCTCTACAGCGGTGCAGACGGGTGGTGCACGCTGATGAGGTCCTGGTCTTGCATATTGACGTCAATGGACGAATGTCATAGCCTATGATTCAGTCAGCACTGTCAGAATGTGACGTTCTGTGAAGTCCATTTTTATCATACATGAGTTTAAATGTTATTTTCCATCCATCCAGCGTGTACTGTACGTACCTACATAAGTAGTTTCATATTTTCTGAGACAAAGTTTTGACAAACACGTCTTAAATCTCAGTGCACTCACACACACACACACACACACACACACACACACTGAGCTTCTCCCACCTTCCTGTGGGAGGTGTTGCAGGAAAACTGAGGTTTATTTTGCAGGAGGAAGTGGAGTGTGTTTGCATCTTTGTGTGTCCATGTGGGTGTTTGTGTGTCTCAGAGGGGAGCTGCAGCTGTGAAGGCTGGCTCCAAAAATGTGAACTCCACTCGCACACTCAACACACGAGAGACGACTGACAGTATTACTGTCAACACGTGTAACAACAGTTCCTCCGCTGCTCCAGAACACTCTCTCCCATTTTAAAGATCCAGACAGAGTGTCACAGCTTTAAGGCGTCATCTGTGAACACGCACACTGCTGTGGACGGATTATTTGGTCCAGCACACAGACAAGACTCAAACTGAATT